TTCTCTTTCTCTTTCTCTTTCTCTCTCTCTCTCTCTCTCTCTCTCTCTCTCTCTCTCTCTACATGTGCGTTAGCAAATCGGTGATACACAACGCAAAGTAAAAAGAGTCTGACAGTGACCCAGCCCGCGTCCGCAGCTGGACCACCGCGTCGAGGAGGTGTTCAGCGCCGCGGCTGCGGTCCGACAGCTGAACGCAGGGACGCTCGTAAACGAGCTTGAACCGGAGAACAAACTCAGCGCCTTCAAGGGCGCGCTGGACGTGAATAACATGGCTCTTCTGGGGCATTCCTACGGCGGCACCACCACGCTTCGCGCTCTGGCGGATTCCAGGAACTGTTTCAGGTACGGAAGTTCTACATCTGCCTTCCCTGAATTATGGATTTTTAAGTCTCACCGGTGAAAGGTGAATTGTGTATTTATTTGCGTTGTGATTCCTTGATTTGTGCGGGTTTGTTCATATTTGTTTGTATCCTATACAACACGTATTGGATGCATTATCACATTAAGGACTTCGTGTAACATTAAAATCAGATTCCATACTGAATACGACCTCCTACATTCCACTTGTGACAATTAAGATGCAACTGAATTAATGAGACCCCAATACGGCATTTAATCCATTTATCAAATTTATTAAATATTCGCTTCCTCGCCAGGGTCGGCGTCGCCCTCGACCCGTGGATGTTCCCCGTGAGGTCCGATCCCGAGGCGCTGGGGAGGGCCGTGGCCGCCCCCGTCCTGTCCGTGTCCAGCGAGGATTTCAACCAAGGGGCCAACCTCAGGGCCTTGAGGAGGCTCAGGGACGCCCATAAGACGGAGGAATCGCTGTTTTACACCATGAAGTAGGCTTAATACCGCGCCTTTCATTGCGTGGATCGAAAATTTGCTGAATTTAAGGGGCTTTACCGTGTGATTGTATATTTTTCTATACTGTTTAGGAGTGTAAAACTAATTGAGGGATACTTGATAGATTTTGGTTGGGTTTTAACAGTATACTTCTCACATCTATCATTTGCTTAAAGATTATTTAACACGAATATATGATTGTATGAGACAACATCATTGATTCAGACGTTAGCTCTCTAGTGTTAGCCTCAGGGTAAGATCAGCATATTACTCAACTCCAGTAAAACACCTGAAATTCCAACCATTTCCCCATAAATCTCACACAAAAACTGGCACGTGATCCCCAGAGGCACAACCCATCACCATGGCAACGACGCTCCTTGGCTCGCGGGCAGGCTCGGCTGGTGGATTACGAGCGGAAACTACACTCACCCGCCGGAAGTCATCCACGAATTGCAAAACAACCTCATTCTCACTTTCTTGGACAAGCATTTAGGTGAGGATGCATTTCCCTTTTTATTGTCTATTTTTCGTTTCTGATAGGACGATGTCTTTTGGGGGAATCAGAGAAAAAGGAAATAACAAAAGTTATCTCATCATTACATCTATACTTCATTTTCTTGTATGTTGGGAACTCCTGAAGCCTAATAAAAGCAACATAAAATTTCCAAATTATATAAAATGTTATTCGCGTTCAACTTTCACCACTTTCATGAAAAATTAATCACTTGTTTCCTCTGCTGTTTGCCGCAATTCCAGATATTGAAGACCGCAGACTGCTGGCCGCCGTGATCCCAGCGTACGAGCAGTTCATTCAGGAAAACAAAGATATCCTAATTGAAGATTAAGTCAATACATTTCGAGAATATTCTGTCAGAGTTCTTATATTTTAAACACTAAGTTATGGTCCACCACTGATATAGTGATATAGTGTAAAAAAAAAAAAAAAGTTTAAAAGAATATATATCTATATAAAATAGATGTCTGGTCACTGTGAGTAACCGAAGATCAGTTTAAATTGCGAATTTAATCTTAATTTTACATCTCATAATGTGTTTATAGCCGTAATGCAATTTCATATCATTGTGATGTTAAATACCAAAATCATATAATGTAAGACTTGTAAGTTTGACATTTTTATAAGGTAGTACCAAATTATGTGATGAACAGATTTTTTTTCTACGTTTTGCTTGTTTTCGGACAAATCTACCTCAGTAATGTTTAGCTATTTGTGTTTAACTCAATAAAATGTTCCATGTTCTCTTGTCGTTCATTCCTACATTTCAATATAATCTTGAGAGTGAGCCAGAGGTTGCCCAATTCCAGGCTGACTATTTATGCATTAACGTCGCAAGCATGCACACACACACACACACACGCCACACACACACACACACACACACACAC